CAAACCCCCCCCCCCCCCCCGGGCGTCCCTATGCATGGTGTTTTTTCCAAGCCTCTAGCCTAGGTGTGCCTTGGACACTAATCACAACCAGCTGACCTTAAAACCCTGATAAATGAAGTTATTAACAGGGAAGGACCCTTAGATATACGTGTGATGTATTCTTCTAAACAGTTCACATTATCCATAATATTTTCGAGTTGAGGACATTGAATAATATGAAAGTCATCCATGTTTTGTATGCACAGTTACATGGAGAAAGGATATTAAAGATCAAGACGTTGAAGAATCCATCAATGGTGCAGCACCTGGCAAGATAAGGGTAGTTTCTGTTTCTAAGGTATCACCTACTTTAGTTATTTCTCAGCTCATATTTAAAATTTAGGCATTCTACAGTCATTTACTTGTACGCACTATAAAAACATGACTACTATAATTTCTGTCAATTGTTTCTACAACACACTAAAGGGAACCTATTTTGTTTTAGGTATCTCGCGAGTTTCATCCTAATTTCTCTGCAAAGTGGAGACGCTATTTATATATATTGCCCTTGAATAATGAAACCGAGGGGAACCACACAAGTTTGTATAAGAAGAATATTGTGGATAGTGCTGTTTGTCGACATGGTCGTGGTGATCAGAGTATTGATGAGGCAAGTAATGGATATGCAGTTGAGGTTGATGACAAAGAAGATGAAGAAACAGGAAATAAATCATCTAGGTTTCTTGTAAGCAGTGTTAACCATCTTCTACATCAATTGGAAGGAAAATTACTATCCTACAGGATGTTTGCACGAGACACTAAAGCCTCACGAAATATGTAAGTCAGAGGTCTCTGGAATTATTGTATATTGGCAAACACCTATTGTTTTATCTTCATCGCAATTCTGATAGGCCAACTGCATCTGAGGTCATAGATTAGATGACAATAAGTGATTTTTCATATATATTATTTTGTTCTTATGCCGGTGACTCTTGCCAGTGTGTCAATTGAAGCTTCAGATGGGAATTCTTTTACAAGGGTAAATCATTGCATGCACAATTGCGCATTTGGCTACATTGCATACAGGAGGAGTATAGACCTCTCTCTGGAAGCATGTTCTAAAATGACCGGGGCTTGAAATAGGCTCTCATACTTTCTTGTACCAGCCGATACGTTATGAATGGCTGGTATCATATCCACTTGGACCGTCATAGGTTAAAATGAGTGGAAAAGACGTCACATTGGCTTTGCTTAGTTATTGCGCTATAATTTTTTTAAAACTGGTCAGAGTTGCT